CTTTTCACAGCTTGTGTAATTTCATCTACAGAGATAGTAATATCCGTACCCTTCTGCTCTACAGGCGAGTTTTCCTGCGGTTGCGCGGGGTTAAGGAGTTCCTCAAAGTACTCCCGCCATCGCCGAAGAATATCATTATCCTTGGTAGAACGGTATTAAGAGCTGTCGTTCAAGACTCTGAGACAGGCGTTCTTGTCACCTAGGAGACAGCGGATGGTCTGCCAAATACTTTGATTGAATTGTGAAAATTTGACTCCAACAACTCACCGAACTTCTCCCAGGAATCAGCGATGGCTTTCCCAACCGCTTTGCGTACCACGACATTTCGCACGCTAGTAGAACTCTCTTTGTTTCCAAGCCATTTCTTGAACCCTGCTATTTTCTCTTTAACTGCCAGTTGTACATCTCGTGTCTACCAGGAAGATCTTTTTGACCTCCAGGAGGCAGGCCAACCCTTTTAATTCGCAGCGTTTGGTGGCTACCTTGAGCATGTCGCAAGTTGTCATCACCAGTATCTGTTCAAACCGTTGTTTCCAACTTTCGCTGTCCTGTCCACCGAAGATAATATTTCCCATTTAATTCTCTGGTTGTGTGCCACCAGATCTTCGTACATTACTCCATTTCTTACAGCGCAACGTGTGAACAACATGGCGGTGATCGGTTGATAGTTCTGCTCCTCTCATAACGTGAACTTCAATTACTGAACGTCTTATGACAGACGATACGATTATGTAATCGATTGAGATCTTCTGTGCACATGTTTTCGGGACCATGTACACTGATGCACTCTTCGTTGATCGAAGAAGGTGTTTATAATGGACAGCACGTTGTTCGCACAAAACCGCAACAGCTTTATTCCGTTTTTTTGGCGTTGCTAAGGCCGGCTTTTTAAATCACGCCGTTCCACTTTTCAGCGTCTACTCCGACGTGCGCACTAAAATTGCCCATGACCCTGACGGCCTTTTGTCATTTCGGACATTACACTGCACTTCCTCCAGGAAGGTATCATGTTTTCCCTACAAGTTGGGCACATAGACCTGTGGAAATGTCAATGGTTTAGCATGTTGTAGCTTCAGTTGGAGGATTACCAACTTTGCGCTGACAGACTTCCAATCAATGTTTTTACCTATGAAGTTTCGTTCTACCGGAACACCAACGTTGACCTGAACTGCTTCGTGCTATCGATGCCTGTGCAGAATAGCTTCCATCCACTGAGGTTCAGGTGTCCAGAGCTTTCGCGTTTCGTTGTCTAGTGTCCAATTTTGTCTAGTTGGTACTTTGTGGCTTCATCAACTAACTCTTGTTATTCTTCTTTACATGAGGATATGTTCTAATTTCCGACTTTAAGCTCCCACTGGTGGTGTCGTTCTCGCGGACCCTTTTTCTGTTGTGCTATGATGGCATTGCGTTGTCTGCCTCCTCCGTTCAGAACGGGTAGCGACTCCTTTGCTGACTGGTATCTTCGTCGTCGTTCCGTCGGTCTTCATCTGCCGTTGTTGTGCTGCTACGCACCTGGTTGGCAGAGGGCGATAAGCAAATCCTGATTGCAGACTTTTGGTAGTTTGTCTTGGTCCTCTAACAGCCTGAGCGGCCATATGTATCGCGGACTATCGCCGAACAGGTATTGTTTTTCTATGGCTTCAGCACCATGAGTGGCAGGTGACGTACTTTTGCTGAGACGTGGCCATGGTCTCTAACAGGGCTTGAAACCGGAATGGGTGAAGTTTTTTGACAATCCGACTAAACTGTAGACGTTATTGGAAATGAGCGGTCATTTAAAGTTTGAAGAATACCGGTGTTTTGCAAGCATGCTAAAGACGATTATGAAAGCCTGTATCAACAACGTCATACTTTTTCGAGCATGCTAATGTGATTGCGACTTTGTCTTCGTGCCGCAGGACTAAAGGAAAAAATTTTGGAGTATTCTTCAAAAATTCCCAATGAAACGTTTGTCACGAGATCAGCGTCATTTGATTTTGTTGGTTTGCTTAAATATTTATGACGAACAACACTCGTTTCAAAGATCGTTCATTATGTGTAAAGCGTGGAGGCATTGTGCATTGTTAGACCTCCTCTGTCAAAAATGAAACCGTCAAAAAAGTGACACACTTTCTGCATATTTGCGTCATGTTACTTTTTTGTAGTGTTGTAGTTTTTGCACATGTTCAAAGAATTTGAAGTAGTTGCAAAATTGAAATGACGTGTCACCATTTCTGGAAACGGCATATTTAAGGGACGTTACTGAGCAAAACCTTCACATAAAATGCATTTGCTCATTAATACCCCAGAAGATGTGTTAAATTTTGTCTACAAAGTTCAGTGCAAAGACTGCGTCAACACTGAAAGACCAACCCGAAACTGAACATCCTGTAAAGGAGCACTTTGCTGCGGTCTGTCTTGGATAGGCCGACATTTCTGGTGGTGCCCAGCATGTGATTACTGAAAGGTTTCCTTTCAGACAGTCCAATGTGACTGTCATAGATAAAGACCAAACTAAATTAGGTCCTCTGGAAAAGGAGTCCTTGCATATACTGACAATGAATAACAGTGCCAGCAACGAATACATATATTCCGTCGTCATCAGTGAAAGCTGGGGCGTAATCACAGAGTTGGCACATAAAACCGGGTCAAAATGACAAAGATTTTTATTGTTTTGATGCAGCAGTATTCTTTGCTCAATCAATATAAAAATGTTTTGACTGTACGTGAAGTGCCAATTAAAGAATTAGCATTATTTGTTTGCTGGATATAAATAACATAAAGCCGTCAATCATGCTTTGCCCAGCCCTGATGATGCTGCGGTCTGTGCATTGAAACGCGTTGGCATTAAACGGTTTCCCATCTGCCACATTTAATGCCCCGAACCATGAATCACTGAAACTATCATGTACGTAACAATAGGCTGAGAATTAGAAACCTGACGAGTTATTTATATGAGCCGGACACTTGTTGCATCGCCTTACATTTTTCGTGTAAAAATGTTTAAGAAAAATTTTATGAGTGTTCAGAGCAGTTTTGCAACGCTTTACTTAGCCTTGCCCTTCTGATGTTACGGTCTATCGAAAGTATCGGCAATAAACTATTGCACCAGCTGCTGCATTTAATGCCCCTGCTCTTTGAATCGTTCAAACACCTATCTGTATAATTATAGGCCAAAAATCAAAACATGAAGTATTATTTATTTGCAATGCTTTGTTGTAAATAAGTCAATAGCCTTGGGCAGCCGATTTTATTCCGTGCACACATGTTTACTTATCATCCTTTAGATCAATCGTTTGTGTACTGTAATTCATTGGCAAGTTTAAATGCACATTTCTGTTGAAAACTTGTGTATGAAAGTTATTTGTATTTGTTTCGATTATTTTAATCAGCTTTTAGTCATTTTTTCATTTGAGGTTTGAAGGCAGATGAAGTGACCGAACGCATGGTATCGACGGATGCCGGATAGAAGCACGTCGTCTTAAGTATTCCCCTATGTCGTCCATAGCGCGAGAAGGTGGTGAATGAATAAGTCGTTTGAAACACCAGCGCAGGTCCTTAATAGTTTAGTTTCAGTTCGCAATAGGGCTGCGCTCGAAGAAAAGCCGTTGGATCCTTCTGCGCGTTTGTACCGCTTAAAAAAACAGATTGACGCTTTGGAGCAGGACAACTTCCAAGAAGACCCTCACGCAAATGTCACTTGGCATAAAAAAATTCCCAAGTTTGACGATGAAACGGGCGACACCTCGCAGCATCTTTCGGGTACGCTTCGAACGTCGTTTTCAGTTGCTTAATTTTTGTCTCGAGAATTTAGGTATAAACTAATCATTGTTTTGATACTCACGATACTTGAGGTCTAATAGCATTCATGGACAGCATGTGCTTTGCTGTAATTATATAGAGCCGTATTCGGCTTAAAAGGTGACTTGGGCTGTTAAAAGCAGAGGGAATGTACGATACGTCCCTGAGAATCCGAAGAAGCGCCACGTGCAGAATGTGTAACGCACGGACGAACAATCAGCCGAAATTAATCGTCGTTTCGGGTTGCTATAATTATAATTTACGATTTCTTGACACGTTCTACTGATTTTACTGAGGCCACCTGTTACCCCTACGACACCCAGATGAAACCGTATGCATGGCAACTTGTCTCACAGTTTGGGCACCGTGCTGGCCATTTATTGATAGCAAGGCAATAAGTCAATTTGTTGCCCGGTTTTTGGCTGGCAGCGGGGAAGCGCAGTTCCGTGGATCTTTTGCTCTAGGGAAATTGAAAATGAATAAAAGAAATTTTAAGCTGTGCTGGAGATTTTAACTTAGTGTTTCGAAAATGCAAACTCACCTATTAACCCATTGCACAGCTGTTTCTTTTATAGGTCATATACTCTTTGTAAGCTAAAGAATTTCTATTCAGGAACATTCGCTGAGATATCAAAAGATTGTTAAAGTAGTTTGCGCTCCATAAACATCATAAGCTGTTCGTACGCCTGAGGATGTTAGATTATGAATGACTCCTGCAAGACCAGATTTCACTGCCTATTACACCGCTAACTTGCGCCTAGCTGCTTTGAGAAGGTCATTTAAGCTTACTATGGCACTATTTGAGCATCTGCAATGGCCAATGCATTCCCCATCGTTTTGTCAGCTGTAGTCACTTCGCATTCATCATAAACAATGTTTCAGGAGCTGGTACTCATATACTACCGCGTACACATCATAAGTTATTCCTACACCTGACCATGTAAAATAACGAACGACGGCTCCAAAACCAGATTCCACCGCATATTGTCTCGCTTCTTCGCTGGTATGCGACGCATGTACCACTGCAGATGCTCAGATATAATGGAGCCTGCTTAAATGCCCCTTCTCCCAGGAGTCTCGCAACAAACGGGTGGTGTAACACGTCATGAAATCAGGTCTTGGATCAGTCTTGGATGTCATCATTTGACACAGTCAGGCGTACGAATAGCTACGAGAGTGCCAGCTTCTGAAACATTCGTTATTAGCGCGAAGTGGTTCAAGCGGACAAAACGATGCGAGATGCATCTGGCACTGCATCTGCTTAAATATGATGGAACTTCTGCCTGCTTACATGGCCCTATAGGCAGCTAGAGCAAGGGAACGATGGAATGCGTCGTAGATTGTGCTCTTGGAGCAGTCATTCGTTATGTCTTCTGTTATACTCAATTACAGTTGGAAGTATTTTAAGAATGAAGTCTAGATACACTGGTTATAGGCAAGACAACGATTTACAGTAAAACGTTTCTTGCGCAGTCAGTCAACGTTTCGCATCACTGGTGTTGATTTGGCGTATTCATTTGAGGTTAATAGAGCTTAAACAGCGGAATAACCCAGATTTATGGTGTCTGACCGTTTGAAATGGTATTACTGATTGATATTGATATTAGGCAACAGTACTTATGTACCTTTTCGCAAACAAGAAGTATTTCCACGTTTTATTTTGTTCTCTACCATGTCAGTGGCCTGTGCACGGTTCTCAAGCGAGGAAACTTTTGAACATTTTCCCATTCTCGTTTTGGGCCGTTTTATCAAACTTATCCCTGAGTCAGTGCGATGGTTTTCTCAAATCGCTGGTCATTAATCCCTGCTCATTGATGACCCCATGGCATTTTGATGATGCTGCGCAAACAGCGTACGCTGCATGAAGATATTAGATTATTTTCGTGCCTTCGTTGTTTAGTCATTTTCAGTGCATGTCAGTCAGATGTACTGTAACCCTTCGACCTGTTCAACAAAACAGTGGAGTTTAGTGCGAAATAAATGCTTGACGTTACTCACACGTGAGACTTAGGCACAGAAATCATCGTCGTGTAGATTCACAATGAATAATTAACTATTCTTTGGAAGTTCAGTTAGAAATTACACACCGACAGAAGTTGTTTACAAAATTCTAGGTTTGTTTGGAAGAAAAAAAATGTAGTTCCGATATTTTGGTTTCAGAATAGAAACTTTCTTCAGTCGTTTCCTATATGGATAATCATAGCATTGTATAACAGCTTAAAAGTTTTATCAAAGAAAGTCACTTTATAGATTTTGGCAAATTACAGTTGTAAAGCGCACCCATCAGACAGTATGGTTTTATTTCCCAAGTTTTGATATGAGGCGTCATCGTTCCAAAACACCAGTGTGTTCCTGTTATTCGCAGATCAGTGATCTGCTACCCGGTTTTCCGGTGATTGTACCGAAACTTAGTGTGGTGATTTCGTTTCTCAAGGGAATGAGCCGTTAATTAAAGACAATTTATGCGTATTCTGGAGATTGAATCTGGTAACCTTAAAGTGAAAAGCAAGCTACTCACACATTGCATCAGAACCCCTCCCTCTACTGAATAGATTGTTCCAAACCGTTTCAGAATTGTTGTCAAAGTTTGCGACAGTCCCATATGGAACTTTTTTTACTTACCTGTGGAAGCCTCTGTGTTTGTTCTGCGTATTATAATTGCGGTAAAAGTTTTGTTGTGTTAATTATTAAAGATATTCTGGTGTTTTTCGTATTCATAATTTTCAACTGATTTACACCGCATATAAATTTTTAATTAGAATAATATTTTAGTGTCAAATATCCTTTTGTGTCTGAAATGCACAAGTTGAATAAAAAGCGCTGTTTAGCCTCTAAAGCCATTTTTTGAAGAGACAGACAAACTAGTTTTGTCTCAATAGGCACTGAATCGAAAGACCTATTTTTTCTTAGAACATTTTGACAGAAGTGTAACTCCAATTATTGTATTTTCATCTGAATGAGGCATTACTATGAATTGTTCTGTTGTAAGATGTTCTTGTGCAAATCAGCAGATGACTTAAGATGACGCTATATTTCCTTTTCAATTGTTATGACTGTAATTTAAAGACAGTTTTTCATTGCTCTTTAGGCAATGGGCGGAAGCGTCGCAAAAAATTGGAACATATTAAAAAGCTAAAGAAATCATTTTCTGCGATGCTTGCAGAGGAAAAGTTGGTAGGTGCTCTTCAGCATGAAAGTTATTCAGGCGAAAGATAGTTTCTAACGCATGCATTTTATGACGTGGAAAACAATGGAGATGAGCCAAACTACTTTTCGTGTCAGGCACCACCGAGTAAATTCCCCGCTCGCCGTTTTTGTGCCGTATGCGGCTTCAAGGCGCAATACGTTTGTATGCGATGCGGTGCTCGTTACTGTTCCTTGCGTTGTCTAGGCGTTCACAAAGATACGAGGTATTTCAGTTGTACCGAGAGATGATGAGAGACCCTTTTTGCCGAGGGCATAAGATTTTTAAAATTAACTTTAAGAACTTCAGTGCAATAATCTGATGTTTGTTATTTCATTGAATTCTTAACACCTGTTGCGATGACTGCTGAATATTGACAAAAACGATGCGCGTTGCCGGATGCAAACGATGGAAAGGAAGTTTCTTCAAAGTTGACACTTAATGAGGTCAGCATAGTATGAAATACCGTCTGTTGTGAGCCACTGCTTTTCCACATTGGGAGATCATAATTACAATGGTTTGGCCATATAACGAGCATACAGCAAAATGCAGGAGACTTTCCAAACGCACTCTCTTCCTTAAGCCACAATGAAAACAGCCCAGGGGCAGCTGATAGACCAAAGGTTCGATTATATAGAAGATTTGATACTGCAGCGGCAAACTCAGACTACTGCGTTGGCCTTTTGAACCAGTGCTTGCTACCTACATTTAATGGCATGCTTCGAAAATGGTTGAAGGGATCAGGTTTGAACGACTGTGCTCTAAACAGTCCAATTTCAGCATGTTCCTCATCACGACTAGTGGTCAACAACCAAAGCGGATGATCGCATAACAAGGCGAAATACAGTGAAGCGTGTCGTGAATCTCGAAACCTGTAGCTTAGAATGCTTTGATAATCAGGCCCTGCTGAGTTCATATTCAGAATGACATTTTTATAACTGATCAGGACATTCTGATATCACTTCCTGACATAAGGATCGTGGGCCACTATAACGTTTAATTCCCAAACAATGAGTGATGGAGATATTTCCTCGTGCCCTTGATTACCTGAACAGGAAATGACGGCTCATGGACAGCAAACAATTCAAATTAGCAAGGATTTGAATAAATACGTTTAGGTTTACTTTAGTTTATTATGCCATGCATAGGATATGAGATGTCTGTTTTTCAGTACAGTGGATAATTATGATACACAATAATGCGATATCTGGTAGTTGTACGGCAACGGGTAGGTCGCATGTGATATAAGTGATAAATGGCAAGAAGTACAGGCTGAAATATAACTTAATAATTTTATTTGAGACTGAATGAGATTTTTAGTCTTGTTTTTATGAGGTCTCAGAAAGGGGTGAATGATCGTCGACGGAGCTCTGTTCCTGTGAGCAGACCAGTATATTCCTTTTTGGTTAAGTGAATTTGTGAAAGTAGGTTATAAGTTTAATGCGGATCGCTGGCACGTGGTGCATAATATCCTGTCATAATGCCAAAGACCTGATATGATCAAACCGCTAAGGTAGCTGGCCAGATAGCAACTTTCCGCTGCATTTTCAGAAGCGCAAATGTTATTTTGAGTCGTCTAATTGTCGTTTTAGGGACCGCCACAAAATTTTTTTCGAATAAGGAAGAAAGCTGATTATTGTTTACTTGAACTGTTCTTTCTGTTGCTAATACTTTGAACAGTCCTAACGCACGACTAGCATTCCTTCAAGAGATGTGATTAGAGAAATTGCAAGAATTTGGCCAAATGGCTTATTTATTATTTGGATTAAAGGCTGAAGAAGCAATATATGGCTGCGGAGTCGCAGTTCGCGTAGACTGTGAAATTAGCCCTAAATTGTGTTGGATAAAGGCTTCGAAATTGTTCGAAAAAAATGTGGATTATATCCGCCCTTGCGCCTACGAACTCTACGTATGAACAAGAAAAGGACTCTTTTGCGACAGGCTTGACCAATTACTTAGTGCTGTACCACTGAGCGACATTGTAGCCTTTGGAATAGATCTTTGCGATTCATTCGGCAACGGTGAAGCGAGTATCGCTCACCCAGGGGAAATATTCCCGGCAACAAAATTGGATCAGTGTTCCATAACCCAGCTGAAAAATTCAACCTGGCGATGATTCTAAAAGAAAATCAGTATGGTAGGAATTACAACGTTTTCTATGGTGCAGCGGATCAGTATAGTTTCAGATATAGTTAGGTTGCACAGTAAGCGATCATTGGAAGCTCATTGTGAGACAGTCAAATAAGAGCTTAAGGTGTTCCTTTGTGTGTGACCATCTTTCGATTTTCCTAAGGAGGGTACCGTATATTGCTGTGAAAAGGGTAAAGATTCTGCCAAAGTTTAATATTGTTTTGTTACACGAAAATCCACACGTCACGAGAATTTTCTCAGTGATATTCAATCAGGCACCCGAAGGGCGTTTGCATCAGGTGTGATACCATCACTCACTGTCACTAATGAAAGTGTTCCAGTACTGTAGAAAAAAGGTGCCTATCAATCTGTGGGAAGACGAGTTGAAAAGCTAGTTAGAGAACAGAAAAGACCCAGAATTGCAGGAAGTACTGCATGAGCAAGAGACTGAACTATGCTATTATCTGAACAGATGAGTGCATTGTCTTGGAATTGAGTTGCTGTTATTGAAGTAGCATTCTGTGAGTTTTTAATGAGCGTTTAATCCAGCAATACGTTATTAGGAAAAATACCAGCCTGGCTTTCATTATTTCAATGGGTGGAGCGTACATGCTGATTGTAGCTAAGGAGTGATGTCAGGAATGGCAGGAACGTTTCCAACTGCTGATTAACCGTCCACTGATATTTGTCATTCCAGCGAAGTATGGCTTCTGATTATAAATGGTATTGATGTACAATGCTCTCAAAAAAGGAGGGTGTCAAAGGTGCTTTCCTAGAAGAACTTTACTTAAAGTTGTTAAAATATGTGTCTAAGACTGGAGTACACATGCTATGAAGATTTGGTGAATAGTACAGTGTCATGAGAGTGATGCCAAAAAGTAAATGCTCATACAAATTTAAATATAAGCCTGATACTACTGACTGAGAATTCTTACGGAAGCCAAGAATTCAGTGGACGGTCTTCGTTGCTGTTTGCATGCAGTATTTAAAAATAAATACTCTTATTCATTCTCCATCAGTTATATGCTGGCGGAGTGTATATCTTTTCCTAGTTTTTGCGTTATTACTAATCTCTGAATGTTAGGTGCTTGAAATGGACTGTATGAAGGTGGATATGACGGACGAAAATGCGGAAAAGAAGTCGCACATCCAATTTTGATGATTAATTTATTGTTTTTTGCAAACATTGTCTTGTAAATGATTCAAACAATATTGTGTTGTTATGTGGAATCGTGTTGGAAAAAGTGTTTTACTGAATGATTATGATGAAGACCATTACTTGTTAACTGAGACGATTTGTACTACTATTGTCAAAGCTGAATTTAGCTGGGCACACAGATCACGTCATGAATAACTCAGACGACACTGTAAATGAACATCATTAAAAAGCAATGCTATTGAAACGTACAAAGGAAAATGCCTTGAAGGTAGAATTTCTGATGATGGTAACTGCGCTATATTGCGAAACAAGGATTTCTCTACTTTTTTTGTGCCTGTAACAGCCTCGCTATTATTGTTATTGTTGAATTACCAAATTAATAACAGGCAATGAGGATACGTGTTTCTGTTTCATCTTTGCCTGGTTTTGT